TGCACCTGCATTTGATTTGGAGTGTTTTGTCGTTTGCGCACAGGGTGGTGTGGGTGGTCACTGTTTCGAGGTTGAAGGCGTTCCCAACAACCATTCCAAGGTGGTGTGAGTCGGTATATTCCTGATGTTGGGAGTTTTCCCCAAGGAATAAAATGTTGCCGCAGTGGCTGTAATCGAAGCAAACGGTAGCCATCTGGTGAGTATTTCGCAGTAGAAGTCAATCTGAAGAGCACCATATCCCAGAAGTAGTCGTTGCCGATGCAATATAGAAGGTCTGCAACGAGGATATGTGTGGCAACATCATCAATTCTGCGAACTCAGGAAACTATATGGTACGTGTCTCAATTGTGGCAGTTAGAGTGGGCAGGCGATTTCACATTGAAGTTTTCTGTCTCCTTTCTCTGTGCTGATGGCCGATTGATGTGGTTGCGGATTGGAGTTGTAGAGGATTAGTTGTAACCGGAAGAGGTGTGATACGGATAATATGCCTGCTGATGAGAGAGAGTGTTGGAAGACCGGGTCATGTTCTCAACTGACGTCATCTGTGATGTACGTATTGACTGGAGCCTGAGTCAAAGAATGCTGTCACGGTCGTAGTTCTCAGAGGTACTTGATGGGTTGAAGGCAAGCGTACGCGGAGTGCACATCAGCGTTCGGCTTGCGTAGGCATCTTTTTGTTGTTGTAGGTGTGAGGCTGCGAGTGAATATGGGTCGTGTGCCCTTCTTCACATAGCAATATGATAGAGAAGGAAGGTTCGGTTTTTATTTGTTGCTGTATGCTACATAATGTTGGTAAGGTTTCAGTCAGGTGAGGTATATCCCTGATGAGAGTAGGGTTCTTCCCTAATTGAACGTTCTCCTCGTAACTTGACTGAGGGGAGCAATAAGGAAGAGTGGTGGCGTGCTTGCGCAAAACTTGCAGACTGCTTGGGAGGCCACAGTCGCTAAGTGTGTGCTGACTGTGACAAAACAGTTGTAGCAAAAGGTGACCGTTTAGCTTAGAACGGCTCCGCGTCATTTGGCTGTCGGAACTGCATCACAGTGTAAACGAACGGTGGTTAGGGTTTTGGACATGTAAGGGCACATCTTCGCTTTGACATCGCGTCGTGGTGATCCTTGGTACTGTAGGCGTGTAACGGCTTAAGGAATCCCGTCGTAGAAGAAGTAGAGGGTAAAATGTTGAGCGAGCATGTCGTCCTATTTCGAAGAGTGTAAGCTTGCCTGATACGTGACTATGTCAGTAAGTAAGTGAAGGCAAATTCACCTTGGTGAGAGATTTGTACTCGTGTTTGAAAGGTTTGTTGTCGTAAAATTTTTCTGCTTCTTACTTCTGGCAGGTACTTGTTGAGGAAATGCGCTCCCAAACCTATTTCAGAAAGAATCGTCCTGTCCGTTGGTGAACCGTTGTCGAATCCAATGCGAACATTATGATTGTATAAGGACTGTAGGTTGCGTTCTTCTAAAGATGACGCAAATTGGTAAAGTTGGGACAGCTTTGTGTAGATGAGTGCTTCATGGTAAGCTTTGTCATCGTAGTGGGCCGCTAGGATATCCAAGGCGAATCTTGTAGTTCCCCGGTGTCATAGAAAGCCCTTGATAAACGTGCAGAGCGACGACCCCGCGGAGGCATCGGATGTTTATTCATCGAACCGTGTCACAACAAAACAAAACCTTACTCCTGGCTGGGAGGAAGCGAATGTGCAAGTGGTAAACACTATTGATATCATGGTAGAAGTAAACAAGTGAGGTTCATTCTGTAGAATGCAGAAACCGACCTCGGAGCATCTTCGAGAGAAAAGCCTCTTTTCTTGAATTTGGCGAACCAATTCTTGCATTTCATGTAAGAGATGACTCCTCACCGTATGTATTTACCAGTTTGGTATGGGCTTCCTTCGCATTCCAGCCGGAATCGTGGAGCAAAACCAAACAGTGGCGCAGGTACGTTTTGTCACAGTGCAAATTGTGCGACATTGTGCATTGCAAATGCAAGCTCGGTGAGTGATAGCTAGTGTAATGAAAGAGTATAATGTACACGTCACGCACACGTGATGACGTACCAACATCCATGCGAACGAAATAGGAGAGGATCAAACACGTGTATAAGAACTTGTGCAACAACCTAATAGTAGTTGGTTCCTGATGACCTCCCTCCCCCCCCCCTCCGCTCGACGGAAAGTCCTTGGGGAGAAAGTAGCGAATTTTCGGGAGATCCCGGCAAAAACTGGTGGGGAGCTGGGAACATGTAGGAAAGTGGGAGGTAGGTGTTGAGGGAGGGAGGGAGAAGTCGCAGTGAGACTCTCCTCCGAGGGGGGGGGGGTGGCACTGACACCACCACCCCACACATCTCATGATGCTGTACCCTGTTCCAGTGCATTCCAGATATTTTAAAGCGAACATCAAATTCGCTATTCTTATGGACTTTTCAGAAATTATGATTGTCATCTAACAACGAGATTACGATTCCGTATCTCCTGGGTGTACTTCCTGAAAACTCTCTGAAAGCAGTCTTCAATCCATTCCGTTAGAGACACGTACAAGAATCATAGGGGCATCGTCCCGTTGGCAGCAATTTTGAAGCTGTTTACAGACTTTTACAATAGTTTATTGTCGTAGTGGATGAGTCTAAAAAATGTTTCAGGAGTACTGAGAGGGCTATTCAAAGGATAAGTGCTCTGCTATGGTGTGTTGTTGCAATCATTGCTATAAGTCACTACGAATAGCTAAGTATGCGAATATGTCGCCATTGTGTTGTTTGCGGTTTAGCATCGTTGCGAAGAGAAGCTCGTTTCGAGCGCTACTTGTATGTATGTCGGCGCACGACCGCCCTAAGCGCACCCTCGGCCCGAACTGGTCGCTTACCCCACCCACTTCTTCCGCCACTCAATCACACCTCTGCCGACTGCCCTGTTTCGTCAAATACTTAAGCTTATATTCCGTTTCGTTTAATTTATGTAGCCTATGATAATTTGGATTTTGCTGGCGACAGTCTGCAGCGCAGCAGGGGAGCTCGTCTTCAGGTAACCTTTTCTCTCATGCTTTCATATTCCAAAAAAATCAAAATGAGCGAAAGTGATATCAAACAAATTGACAACTGGGCTAGAGAATAACCTCAAGAAGCTATAGTGAAAGCTCAAAAGAATATCTGAGTTGCCACAACAAAAGCAGCAGTATAATTTTGCGGTCAGAGCAGAACAGAATGGTTCTTGGGTATATCGAGTACCATTGCCTCTTTTCTCATTACAATCGCCACTACTTTGCATGGAGAAAGATTAATCGCAAATTGAAGTCTACAGCTTTCTTCGTACCTCGCATGACTTCATGCTCTCACTGTACACACTTCCTCACTGTTCTTGCCCTAGCAAGCTCTACTCTAAGCGTTCACTACCCTAATTCGTGGAACCGGTTGCTAACTGAAGTGTTCGTAAAAAATTCTAGGAGCAGCTGAGTTGAAAGGCAAAGCCGCAACCACAGATTGTGGGTAACGGAACCCACGTAGGAACGAAAAAGGGCTAGGTATCTGATTAGCGGAGAAAAGCAGCAGGAAAACAGCCGAAAATGCCCCAAATAGGATCCCATATCGACCCCACCTGTACATGCATGCAGTGAAGAAAACGCATGCTTGTACGAACTTCCACTCGTCGTTATCATAAAGATATCAGCTCTTTTATCGTATCACCTCACTCTCACCATTGGAATGGAGAGAGATAGCATAGTGGCTACTAGCTAGTAGCTAGCAGCCGGTGGGGGTCGGCATGGGCCTAAGGGGTGCCCTTGGCCCTAATTGCTTAGCTTAAAGCGGAATTCTAGATTTTCACTTTTTAAAGGCAGCGCAGCCTCCGCAATCTCCTTCCGGATCGTCTGACACATTTGAAAGGTCATAGCCTTATTTCATCGCGGAAAGTGCCTTTAATACATGAAATGACCTCCTCCTTCCATGCAATGCGTTTGTTATAGAGCTGCGTAAAACAATTTCACAAATTTCGTCATTTTTTTCTTGGATTTTTACGGCAAACAATTTTTGCCAAGGACGCTAGAAACTAGGGGTGTCATTCACTGTCGCTGCACATCCTAGCTGATGATCAGGTTCTNTGCTTAACATTCGCATGTACATTGTTTGTGTCTATATCTTCGTAATGCGCCTTCAACACTTAGCGTAAGTCCACATTAGTGTAAAAAGAAGAGGGTTCTAATACAGGTCCACAGCGGTATGGAGAAGTCCTATGATCTCACCGAACACCCTCCCATGGTCTCTACTATCCAGTAATTATAGTTTTTTTTTCGCCGATAGTTAAATCGTGTTTCTTCCTCAACTTTGGCAACGAGTATCTCTAAAGATGTCATGATCGCTGTGGTAGGCAGAAGGGCCCTAGTTGGTCGATACGGTACACAGTTACAAGCTTGTTCTCAAACGATACAGAAATCACATTTGGCTATCTGATAGTGCACAAACCACGAGCCACCACTATGAACGAAGCTGCCCAAAAAGACCATTCAATGGGTCCCTCATCTCTTCACCCCTGCCAAATTAGGAGCCTTACAATGCACCCTTACAATGCATCTCGGGAGAAAAATGACAGGGAATTATTAATCAAATAGCCCGGTGCGTTTTTCCCTAACCTACATCCAGACAACAGTCCAACCAAATGTCATCTTTCTTTTTGTTTACGTCCCATTTTTAGTTAGTAAGAAGTACCCAAGTGATGTTCAACCAGACCCACCTAGGTTTATGACCCCAGAAAATAGGGTACTCAAAAAAACATGTGATTTTTGGTAGAGAATGTGTAGATATTGTTGAGTCATTTTGTTAGATGGTATTAGGTTTCCTGCTTATTGAATAAGAAATGTGCCGCTTGAAATGGTTTAGCATCATTGGTCCTGATGGTAGCTCTGCTGGTACCTGGTACCTGAAGTAAACTTCAATACCCAAAACAATCCGTTAATGCTTGATTTTTATAGGTTGAGAGAAGGCGTGCTGGAGGTTCGCGGTCGAAATGGAGCTTTCCTACCGATTTGCTCGACATCAGCAAAGAAGATTTATGCTCAGAATGTGTGCTACTCAAGTGGAGGGTAAGTGACATCCACTCATTTTTTAACTAGCTTACTTATTAACTTACTTCCTCGTCAGCCAAGAAAAGTTTTCTTGTGCTCCCTCTTACGAGCAAACTTATGGTTAGATCAATTACGCTCAGATCTGGGGTAGCTATTTCTGCTTCTTCGATAACTGAGCCATTACCACACTTCTGCACAATACTAAAAAATCAAAGAATGAGGCAAGGTGTTGGCAAGTCCCCTCCTGAGATGTGCCATGTGTTTGATTTCCAATCGTTATCATAGGCGACTTGAATGGTATGATTCATTGGTCTTGTATGTCTGGTGAGGCCTGCCAGTTGATGGCAGCGGTGGGGTGAAAGCAGACTAGATCATAAGCTGAACTTCTCCGGCGGAGGGTCATATTTGATAGCGGTTAGGAGGAACGGTCGTATTTGACCTGAGCAATTTTGTTTTTGATAGTTGACTTTTCCTGTTTCGCGCGCATTATCTACAGCGTGGGAGACTCCAAGACTCCAATTGGGGGAGGCGCGGGGAAAGGGGGGAAGGGAGTCTCGTATTTGCTCGACGTTTCCCCCCCCCTCCTACTCTGCTCCCGCCTGCTCGCCGGGCTGCGAAGTCGGCGGAATTCAGAAGGAAACTGATGGGTCTTACCAAAGCAGCAATTTCGGGTAAAGAGTAGGGGTGTATGTCGCGAAAAATTGCTAAGCTACCGGAAGTGCCCTGGGTGGCAGACGATTGGAGGGACGGGCCTTCGACCTGACCTTTAGGCCGCAAGCAGGCAAGAGGGCTATTTGCTGATCGAACCAGGGCACGTCATCGTTGTGATGATCACAACGGGGGGGGGTGTATTTGACCGCGAGGTAGGGGGGACATATGTATTTGGTCGTTTGGTCCAAATTGTCCAAGTATCTATACAACTACTACTTCCGATAGTTGGAAATGATAGGTAAATCCTGACGACCTCCCCCCCCCTCCGCTCGACAGTCGACAGCAAAATTTTGAGGAAAAACCAGAAATTTTTCAGGAAATTCCGGAGAAAATAGAGGAAAAATGGGAAATTCTCCAGTTTCACACTGGGTATATATCCCCCCCCCCCGCGTGACGGAGAACTCCTGTCTGAAAAACCAGAAAATTTTTGGGAAAAAATGGAAAAAGTGGTAGGAAGTTGGGAACGTCTAGGAAAGTGGTAAGTAGCATGGGGAGGAGGAGGGTCGTATTTGAGGATGGAATTAGGGGAGGGTTGGACGTGTTTTTCAGGAAGTGATCACAACGCGATGGCGTGCCCTGGATCGAACACCTCAACAATCACACTGAGCAAAAAGTGCGCATTAAAGTTGAATGAATCGCTTTTCAGTTTTTCTTGTTGTTCGCTCAGGTCCTTATCGTTTTCATCCCTTCACTAGACCATCATAGCATCTGATTAACTCTGCCACTTGTAAAAGTGTTCCTTTTTTCGAATACTCCCTCTCGCACGTCTCGTGTCTTCTGCCTGCTTCAAAGAGCAACAAAACTGGTTCCTTAGTCGGAATCTTGATTCTGCTCCCTCTTACAATTCCTTAACTTCCCTACCCTTTGTGCATTCTCTCCTGCCTTTACGAAACTTGTGATTAGGTCTTCTTTTGCCTATTCCTTCTTGTTCCTGATAAATTTGTGCTTCTAGGTTTCTGCATTTACGCGTATACTTGGGCACCTACTTGTGTGCAAGGAGGTATTCACTCTTTCTCATCCTTTCAGATCACCAGTTCTTTCTCCCATCGTGAATTTCGTTTCCTTTTGTATGTATCCAGCAGCCTACCACCTTTCTCGTGTGCTCGGTTACATTGCTGCACGTATTCCTTTGCTGACGCCGTTGGCACAACTCTTGATTGCTTTTTAGCTTGTTTTTATCCACTGTCATCATGTCCGCGTCACATGCTTGACGGGGAGAGAGGGACTGCTTTTTTCGGAGACCCTTGTTGAAAGGGAAAGGAGGAGAGGGCCAGTGAGTTTGGCGGTCGTGCAACGGATGGCAGATGCAGATGGAGCTGATGGGAAGAACTCGTGAGAAGACGCGACCTACCTTATCAAGGTGACAGGTTCCGAAGTGCGTGACACACATGGTGTGTCATAGTGACACACATGGTGTATCGTTTCTATGCAGCGTTTTACTTGTTTATTGAGCTTTTCTTTCATATTCTGATAATGTGAAAGCTCAATACCTTTACGGACCATACATCCCTCGTAAATGATTGGGATGAGAGGGAAATTATGACGAACTATTGACGAAAAATGATGAAAGGTCCCGACAGTACGGCGGTCCGCAATGTGTTAAACTTGCTTTCGGTGCTCCAGAGGCGACAACACATTTGACACCACAAGTCTCGCAAATCACGTGCGAGGCACATTCTCGAAGGAGATTAACCGCCTCTTGCAGTTGGGCATGTAATGAGTAGCATAATATGGCGGGGTATTTCAGAGTTATGCTATTTCGAGGTGTTTCGAGATAACATGAAGTCTTTTGGGAACCTTGGCCGAAATCATGAACGAGTTGACTTCTGAAGAATTACACAATTAAAGCTATGCAGAACTAGATGCGAATTGCTGGAAAGGCCTTTGAGGGGCGTGGAATGGAGGACACGCGGGGCGAATGTTCCATCGTTAAAGGCAGCACCCACATTCATATGATGTTCCTACGCCCTCCTTAGATATCGTAGCTTTGTCGACAAGGGTGGAGGATAAACTAATTTCGCAGCTTCAAAAATACGAGAGGATGGCGATACCTGCTGGTGAAGAGGATACCGCCCGCCTACCTGGCTGCAATAACTGCTTCGGCTTAGCCTTTAAGGCTGAGCCCGCTTTCAAGAATAATGCGTTATGGAGCTCATGTAATACGTGATCAAGTAGTGAAGAAAGAGCAGAAAAAAAATCATGGAGAATGCCTCATACAGAAAGTTATGCTGCCCAGGTAAGCGGCGCTATCCTCTCACCTTTTCGAGATGCAAAACTAATACATTCTACATCCTCATAGAGAGAGAGCTATGATATCTAGAGAGGGCGCGGGATTACCAAGTGAACGTGGGCGCTGTCTTTAAGGTATTCTGACCATGCAGCAGTTGGTGGAAGGCTGCCCTGGCTACGCTGCAGTCCATACTTTCGCAAGCCCCTTCGCTTATAACTCCGCGAGTTCTATAACTACCTAAAGTAAATTTGAAAATCTTTGAAAAAAAAATCTCACATTAGCCAGATCTGCTTACCGCTTCACATTCGTATAAATGGTGTCCATTTGAAAAAAGAAAGCCCTAAGGGAGTCTTTATGACTGGCAGTGACCTCCCTCCTGGGGCTGAAGGCAATCCTCTTTTGTTGATATATAAAGTGCTATAGACTGAAGACACCGGTATATTTTTAGCCACATGTCATTGTACGAGACGATCGTACTTCGCTCAAAAAGAAGCTATTCAGTGGTATGTGATGATGAAGCTAACTGCTTCCCTATTCCCACCACAAACTGCATGACAGGATTAGCTGTCAAATGCACGACTGACTGTAAGAATATTCGGCTTATCGATTCTATTTGCTTCTACAAAAAACTCGGCTTTTTCAGTTTGTCCGTCTGGCTCAATACCATCAGGAAGGTTATGCATCCAGGTGGATCCGCTTTCATTCACTTCATTTTCTGACGCAAAGGTAATTCTGCAAGAAAGTAACATTTTCTGACTTGGAGTAATCGTGCCTCCTTGACTTTCTGGTCCTAATCTCTGCCGTTCTCTCAGGCGAATTATACGAGAAGCTCAGTTCATTGAATTTCAGGAAGCTTGCTCTTTTCGAGTACTCTCACTTCCTCGCGAATCGGATCGCATTGCATTAATGCAGTTGGCGAAGAAAAGTTTTGGTAGGTTGTGTTTGGTGAGGGGATTAAGCAAAAAAAAATCGCTCCCGCCATATGGTACCACGCTGTATTCGCAAACATTTGGCTGAATGATTCACGCCATCACGTAGCGGGTTTGAGCCCACTACAATTGTGGAGAAGTAGAAAACTTGCTAACAGGGCACGTCGTACATTGGAGATCCCCTAGCAGAGGGGTCGTGTTCGATCGCGTAAGGGAATGAGGTAGTATCTTCGAGAAGTACTTTCGGTTGTCAGCATTCCTCGGAGAGTTGTGAAAAGTGGAGTTTTTGCAAAGAGAAGCTCCAGAAAAATGGTAGAAAGTGAAGAGGATTCAGGATGAAGGATGGATATGGGATGGGGAGAGGGGATCGAGTCAGAGGAGGGCTACCGGAGGAGGGTCTTATTTTGTAAATAATTTCAGCATTACCTGGCCTGATCACATAACGCGCCGGACTAGGAGGGCTAGTCCAATTCAAAGTCATTTCCATCATCTCACCAACAGAATGACCTATCAGGTGAAAACTAGTGTGGATGTGAGGGGAGGGGGGGGGGAAAGGAGGGTGGTAAGTTGAGCAGGTTGGCATGCCTGCATGTTTGTAGCAACAGTGCCTACTTCTGAAGAACTGCTCAAAGTGTTGGGCTCGGAAACCTTTGTGAGCTCTACCAAGTTATTTTAAAAGAATTATGACCGGATTTCAAGTACGAAAGAAAATGTTTGTATTTCAACTTCTTGCTAAATGGTTTCAGACAACACCAGGACGTATTTCACATCGGGATACAGAAGAGGATCACAGTGGTTATGGGATGATGGAACGCCAGTTGAGGTGTGTTTTCTTTTGTTTTTGCTGATGGCATAAGTCGTAAAAATATTCACAGCTCCATAGAAACTAGTTAGTTAGAGGCAGTTGGCACAATAAATCTCCCAAGATGAGTAGGACTAATACGCCTGGCAGGATAGAATTCCGTGACCCTGAGCAGGCGCTGCATAGTGCCTTTTCCAGGGAAGGTGCCCTTATAAGGGCCCTCCTACTCGAACGCCCTCCACGCCCGTCCGCCCACAAATGGACGACCTTTCCTGACGCTCGTACTGCTTCATTTGCCAAGTAAATTATGAACCGAAAGGGTTGGTATGAAGGGACCGTGATGCTGCATGTATACATGGGTACAGATGTGCAGCCGTACCGGTAGCGGTTGTTGGCAAATGCCTACAGGACTCGTCCAAAATTAATTTCTAACAGAAAGCAGGCTCTTTCGTCGCAAGATTCTGACTGTTTCACTCCGTTCTTTCGCCATTTCCCCACTATAGCGCCCTAATGGCATTTTAGGCCGAGCACTAATTCATCGTGCCAACTGCCTTTAAGTAGTAATACCTTTTGGGGCGTAGCATGCATTTGACGTCAAGCCAGAAAGGGTACTTGAATGGGCATCTGACTTCTATAATCTAATGGGTTACAATTTTAGGAAGCTTTTGGGGATGATTCCTCATGATTGTTGAATGGAAAGGGGTTCTCTGGAAAGGGGCAGAGGGGCTCCAGCTAGTGACACTGCACCGGACAATTTGGTGTAAGATGGGGCTTCAGCGTCGAGAGCGTTACTAAACAGTTCTGGGATCAACAAAATCCTGGCCAAATCTGGGCCAACAAAAAATTGTTTTCTGTATGGTCAGCTACCCTCTCCTGCATTCCACACTGCATGGGTCAAATATGTATTCAAAATTCCTAATTGTATCACGCTTTTGAATGAAAATCGAATCGCAGTGAAATCAAGTGCTGTATAAGCGTCGAATACTTTAGTAACGTGATCATCCTTGGGAAAAGGAGAGTATGCTTATCAATGACAGCTTTCTCATAAAGAGTCCTGTTTCCTATTGCAAGTCTCTTTTTCAGTTTGATGTCAGTGGCAGAGGAAGATGTCTGGCCGTAAGAAGTGGAGCCTTTCATGCGGTTGACTGCGATTCCCCTGGTACAGCTCTCTGCGAAGTGGCAAGGGAGTGCATCTATCACAGTGAATATGCCGGAAAAGTTAACAGTAGTCAAGGTGGTAAGTCACGTGAAATGAGTATGCTCAATCTGTAAGATGAGGTGGGGAAATCTTTTCTCGAAAAATCGAACTTTTGAAACGAAATTTGAAAGTAGATGGTTTCAGGTGGGCAATTGACAGAGGGCCACTGTCACTCCTCTCCCGCAAAGCAACATATTCTCCATCCTAGGTGAAAACTGTATAAATATATACCAGGATCTTTGTACTTGCGGCAAAATTTTGGATTGTGATAGCACAGAGCACATGGTCTTTTTTGCTAGCTGGTGTGGCACGTGGCTGATTTACAGTGAATTTCGCCCCTTCAAAATTCACTGTAAATCAGCCACGTGCCACGCCTGGGCGTAGGAGTCAGGCAAAAGTCAGTTTAGAAAGTCCAAAAAGTCCTTCTTCAAAAGTTCTCAGCTGTTATTGTTTGATTTGTTGTGGGCAAAAGTTGGACCACGGACGGGTTCGAATCCCGTCCGTGGTCCTACTTTTGCCAACAACTTAGCATTCCTGTTATAACTATCCTTCTTAAATGGCAGTTGGTCCACTGCTCCGAGTATCTCTGAGATGCGGTAGGCGCGGCTATGTACATTACGTTGCGGCTGCCTTCTTGGTGAGATATATCCATTTTGGGATCTTGTCTTTTTCGAATACAATACAAGGGGACAGTTGTCTCAAACTGAAATATCCCACGATATGACATCATCCTACGTCTTTTTCAGATGTAGTGCGCGGCGATGCTACGCGTATTGCTCGGCTGCCTTCTTGGTGAGATATATCCATTTTGGGATCTTGTCTTTTTCGAATACAATACAAGGGGACAGTTGTCTCAAACTGAAATATCCCACGAATGACTCATCCTACGCTTTTTCAGATGTAGTGCGCGGCGATGCCTACCGTGCCTCGAAGATATGAGTGTAGGTATAGATGTTCGCAATATTAGCGCCGCTGTTCGCTTCAAGGGGAGCTGTGGAGAAACAACTCACTAGTTTGCTTGGCTCCTCAGTTTCCTCTTCTAAGTTGAACCTGTAGGTCTTCCAGAACTGCGAAAAGAGAAAAGTTTTGCCGAGGCGCTTCGACGAGACCTATTGATTCTTGCAAACTGAAGAAACGGTAAAAACTTTTTAATGTGAGGCTGTCTCACTTTACAACCTCACCTCCTGTACGAGTTTTATCAGTACTGTCTCGTAGCCAAAGAGGGATTCACACGTCCCTACTTGCATGGGAATAAAAAATGTCCCACCAGGGTAACTGCGCCACATCTATCTTGAGAACAGAAACCTCCACCCACCTTCACAAGAATTACAGAATTACTGCTGTCTCCGCCTTTGAAACATGAAGGATTTTGTGGGCACTAAAGTGTACAGGAGACTCTCCTTTGTATTAGGTATGAGGCCAAATAGGTTACAGCCTTACGGTCATAAGAGTGGGTGCTCTAAAAGAGCGCCTAAACACCCATTTCAGAAACTCCGCACCTTCCTACAAGGTGTTCCTCACAAGACCCAACGATGGACTGCATTTCATCTTCATGAGGTTATTCGGGGTAACCATAGCACTTTCCTGAATTCGGGTGACGGTAGTGCAGGATTTGCATATATGCTGAGTGTATGCTTCTTTCGTTGTTGTTTTAAATCAAAGAAACATATGCTGTAGGATTCTGTGCAATGTTGATCGTAACCTCACAGGTTTTCCTTGTATGAAGTGGAACGATCCTTCAGTACTTTTCTATGGGTCGAGTATAAATGGACAGAGTGGCTGGGACCATAATTTTTGCCGAATAATAAATGAAGAACAGTGGGTTTTGTGGCGTATCGTTAGCACTAAGTGTTATACAACAGTGCACCAGATCAGCGTAATAACTTTCAGGACTACCAGTTGCTTTGTTTCACCGTCTGTGCGACGGCCTTGCGAAGTGCCCCAGTGTCCCGACTCGCCTGGGCATCTCGAGCTCAAAGCCGATTTATGTATGTTTTTGTGGTCTCTATCCGCATTTCTACTCTGAAAGTCCTACGGTTGGTTAATTCGTTAAGCAGTGCCGTACGTACAGCTTATCTGGATCATAGCGCCTATACATACTATATTATTCCCCATTCCCCGGGCTTACGAATCGTAGCTACGCGCTAGCTACCAGGCGTTTTGGTGTCAGCCCAACCAAAACGCAAGGTAGTATACATCTGTCATCTCCAGCGATCCCTTGAGCAAGTTCTCCCTGTTCTAGTCAGACAAGAACATAAGATTTGAGATATGGCCCGACAGCCCGGTTAGTCAGTGCTTGGCACCAATACAGCGCACTCCCCCTGTTTTTTTCAGAACTCCTGTTTGAAGGCTTGTATGTACTACTAAGGAACGTATTTGGTGGTGACCCATGGAGGAAGAGCAGAAAATTTCACTGGAACAGAAATCGGGAAGCAATCATGGGACAACCTAATACTATGCATGCATCGCAGGAATTCAGAATGGCGTTCTTTTCATTAGATAATCTTAGGGCACCTCCACACAGGACAGCGCCACCCTCCTCTCCCACTCTCCCATTCCTGATTTCGTTTCTCCATTCCATTTCCCTGTACGAAAATCGTCTGTTCGTTTTCTGTGTGTATTCGGAAAAGGAAAAGAAAAGACAGCACCATTGACGCGCTAAATATGAGGTGGTGGATTAATTAAAGAACAGTGAGTGAGTGTGGTAGAGCTGAATGGAAGGTGTCCGAACTAAACACCATTCCTGTGCTCAGAGAATCAAAAGGTAGCGTGGGGCTCCCTCGTCGTCGCTTTTACCGAAGATCCGTTTGTTTGCAACATTGTAGTTATAAGAAATCAAAATTTCAAAGCAACTAACCATGTAAGATAGATGGTACGCACGGAAAATTTTTGCTATCTGATTTTTGGCTATTACTGTATGGATATACAATGTTCATCGAAATGTGGTACTACAATTCCAGCTTCATCGAAATGTGGAGCTGGTTTCTTCCGTTGCCGTGACTCAGGCAGATGCTTGGCGAATGATTTTCTCTGTGACTATGAGCCTGACTGTGATGATGCCAGCGACGAGGAAGAATGCGGTTAGAAGTTTCGCGATTAGACTGTACACTTGTTAGACCTCACCCAATCCCATCCTTGTTGTAAAGTGTAGCTCATAGACACTTCAACTGTATGTTGGTTTTCAACACAGCGATGGATAAAAGACAGATTCCGTGATTAACTGCAGAGATCCTTCCTCTTTTTACATTCATTGTTTTTCCGCCGTCTGTCCACTTGTGATTTGAATCGATAGGGGTGTTAATTAGAGCATTCGACAGTTTCTGTTTGTCCTTTTTCTTACCTATTGTGTTACTTCACCAAGCATTATTTACGAATGGGAGACGCGGGCTCTAATTCTTATTTGAAACATTTGCCTTTCTGTCACTGAACAATCTTTTGACAGGGGAACTATCGCACTGCCGGCTTTTCTACCTAGATGTTCACTTTCTATTCGACTTCGATTAGAAAAATATCTCGCATATTACTGTTCTTTTTACCTAGATTTTACTCCCAGAAATGTCTTCGCTTTCAGAAGATTTTCTCAAGTATTTCGAACTGATGGGGACCTTGAAGCTGGCAGATAAAATCACCGAAATATGGACGTACATTCCGCATGCACAAGGGGTAAATTTCTCGTTACTGATATTTCAAGTAAAGTTGCTACTTCAAAGCAAACTTTCATTCTTTTCAAAAATTTTATGTTGATTATTCGTTTAGGCGTGTACTTAACCTTTTCGTGACCGTGGCGGCTTATGAGGACCTTATTTCGGGCGTCTTGGGCCGTTACGTCCCATTATTGCTGCGCTTCCCTATAGAGTGCCTTCCCTTACCATGTTCTTCACAAAATCAAGTTTTCGTACCCAGTGCCTTTAGAAGCCTAACTTTTGATTAGTGCCCATTCAATCATACTCTATTGCAGCTTCTGAAGGAACCTCTGACAAAGAGATGACTGAATGACATCCTTGAAGATTTTGTCTTCAGAAAAGTAATATGTTTACAAAACCTTGGAAATCTATAGGAAATGGAAAGCACGCCACTTATTACTAGTATACGAGAGCTTTGTTCCAATTGCACTCAACTGTAACAAAATCACTTCAGCTCTGGAAGAGTACAATGCTTTGAAATTTCAGTGCGCTCGAAGATGCAAAGAGAGTTCGCTGCTCTGCGAGGCTTTCTCCTATGAGCCTCGAACGCAGGTGTGTTTCTGATCGTAAGCGTAGGTGATAAAAATCAGTTGTACTGTAAGACAGTGACTGCTGGGTGGTCCTTCGCCAGCGTTCATGCCTAGTGGCCCAGCGATGGGCAGTTACTGTCATATTATGTGACTAGAACGAGTAAATCGCTTATGCTGCGTTGTGAGTTTTGAGCGCATTGCGTAAAGAATCAGTAAGGCGCCGAGTGCACTGATTACGATTTTCATCAAGAGTTACTTTATTCAATATACTGTGCCTGTTTTGATGTCAGGTAATATGTTTAGCAGCTTCAGGTTTAAAGCAGTCGTCCTCTTCGAGGCCACCGTTCACCGTAGGCTGCGTTCGTTCGGTAATTTGCGGCAACAACCACCAGCAACCAGCAGCGTTTCGAGCGTCCATTAGCGTCAGCGAATAGAGAAGCATAGGTATCGATCTAGCGACCAGCTGCGTCCATCAGCGTCCAACAGGGTCCAGGAGTGGAGAGTATGAGGAAGTAGAGAGGTTGCAGACAGCTGCCCTCCTACTTCTCCAATTTTTTTACCAACAGTCTGCTACCTAGTCCTATTTCTCCATACTCTAGTAGCTGACTGCTGTCTTTCTATCCCTATACTCTCCACTCCTGCACGCTGGTGGTCGCTTGGACGCAGGTGAACACTCGATCGATACCCATACTTCTCTAGTCCTCGAAACGCTGATGGACGCGTGGCCGCTGCCGCAAAGGATGAACGCAGCCATATACACGGAATAGTTTGCGATTTCACATGCCAGTCGCGATAGCCAATCGCTGTACGCGTCTCCCGCGGAGCGGTAGCCTCTGAAGGAAGCGATCGCGTCAACCGTCAGTCCAATACATCAACTGCACCACCTAAGACCCTCAAAAGAATAACAATACATTCCGAATAAGCAAAAAATCTAATATGCCGAGGTTACAGGAAGCAAAAAATTAGAACTTTTTTTGTGAGACACGTATCCGACATTTCAGACCTGCTTGCTCACCGACAGCTCACATGTTGGCGACAATCTTGCCGTGAAACCTACTAGCCAATTTTACAGAAAGCGATTCTCAACTAGTGAGTAGCAAGTGAGACCATATAATTGCCTTGATACATTGTTGTGTAACCGCTCGACTGTTGAGATCCTGGTGGCAGTGGCATAATAGGCAAGAATATTCTTGGCGATAATTGTGTAGCATCAAATGGCGCTACGTGAGGAGATGGGTTAAAGGCAGTTGGCACGATAAATCCCCCAAGACGAGTAGGATTAATACGCCTGGCAGTACGGAATTCCGCGACCTTGAGCAGGCGCATAGTGGGAAAGTGCCCTTATAAGGGCCCCATGAGGCTACAACATTACGACCCAAACGCCCACCACGCCCGCCCGCCCACAAATGGACGACCTTTCCTGACGCTCGTACTGCTTCTTTTGCTAAGTAAAATATGAAGCGAGGGAATCGGTATGAAGGGGCCGTGATGCTGCATGGATATATGAGTACACATATGCAGCCGTACCTTCGGTAGCGGCTATTGGCAGGATGCCTACGTGAAACTCGTCCAATGTCGACATTCAAATCATTGAGGACGGAGGCTCTTTCTTCGTAGGATTTTGACCGTTTCACTCCGTTCTTTCGCTAATCCCCACTATATAGCGCCCTATTGGCATTTTACGCCAAGCACCAAATCATCGTGCCAACTGCCTTTAAATAATACCTGATCACCCAGGACAATCAAGCCACCAATCCTGTAAAAGCCAGTTACCCCGTATCACATTCTGGGAATCTATGAACACGGAAGTCGATCTTCTGCCATTGGCAGAAATTTCCAAAATATGACCCTCCCCCCCAAATTTTCCTCCTTCGATACGAGCCCCTTGCTATTCTATCTACCATCTTCCTGGAATCTCCCAGCTTCTTGTCACCATTCCATTCTCATATGCCATGCTAAATATGCAGTGGTATAAATGCTCCTATAGCTCATCATTTCCAGCTTGTTTCAACCCAGCTCTGTAGCCCGTGTAAATTAACAAGTCTTCTAAGGAGATGTACATTACGATCTGGTGAATAACGTGTTGCGAGTGTCGAAAAACAAGACGTGGGCGAACGTATGTGACGATGATTTTTCGGCTGACTATGCTACGGCCATTTGCCGTATTTTTGGCTATGGGTGAGTAAATGTGATTTTTCGACTTCATTCTAAACGGTACATCCAACGACTGAAAAACGATCATTTCTGCTCGATTTTCGCGGCCAGTTCAGTGAGCTTCGAGTGCAGCATATCCCAGTTTTTAAGTAAGTATCCGCCAGAATACTGAAATTGTAGGATGAGTTGAATTTCTTTCAAACCTGGTTTCGTAGAGCTTACGTCATCTGGCAGACATCCACTTTGGGGACTGTGGCCACGGTGCGCAGGTTGCGTGCATTTTAGACCTTCTAACATACTCTGAAAAAAAAGAAGAAGCGCTGAAAGTGCACTGGTTGCCGGTCCACATAGAGGAAGAGGAAGCAAGGGGAAGGGTTGGACATCTTCGAAAGTTTGCATCCTACTGAGCACTGATAACGGCGACATGGAATTAAGTTTTATTTCGAAAGACACCGTACCTATTGAACACGGCATTAATGTTGCTGGCCAATATCTATGGAGTGCGCCATGCATTCAGTTCTATTATTATCCAGAAGCGTCTGACCGTCAGTGCTATTGTAAACAGCAAACTTTTCAATGGGAAAACACGGTTGACTTGGTAAATTGGAATCTCCCTGTTGTCCAGCAGTGAGTGATACGGCATGCCCCACCGCGATGATTACACTTGACGCTCGGCTGCACATTGCATATGTATAGGATGAGTTATTCCAACGAGACGACCTTCTTGGGTTATTTTGCCTATTTCCGGATACAGTATCTCCTTTCAGGGAACGAGCCGACTGCCTCTAGCGTTTATTCGTGTCCAGCGAGAGGTCTAATGGGGGTCTTGTTGCCATATAAGGAGGGGTCTTGTTGCCATATACATAACCACCTATACAGGGGGGGGGCTATAAAAAAAGACACTTTTCTTCCTCGACTTTCAAGGTGATGTGAGTAACACTTCATCAAATTTTGATTGGACATTTCCACCATCATATTCAACAACACATTGTACACTATCACGATACTTCGCGCAATGAACAATAGCACTCAGTGCATCCACAACGGACACTGCCCTCAATCCTTGCTCCTTTGGAATCCGAACTAAGGTACGTGGGAACACAGAAGTCATCTTTCCTAACAGGGCCGATCCACCAGAAACAAACTGTAGATCGTAGCGACGTTGCACGAAAACCTCCCCGGCAGATGTAGAACTGAATCGACGGTTCGCAATGATCTGCAATGCTCCAGGCTTTCCTGAGGTTTATAAGTGTGTCGAATGTTCTCTTCTCTTCTCGAGGGTGGTAACAGTAGAGAAAACCATTTGCTCTATTATTTTTGAGAGAATATTCAACAAAAGGAATATTTGCCTCCCTTGCCCTCTTTACCCTCGGTAACTGCTTCAACATGCGCTCTTAAAGAGAGTTTTATTTTTTTTTATTTTGCTACCCTCCCTCTCACACTCCTGGGCAATATATACAGGTACGTATGACTTCGTTCAGCCCAGTTCGAAGGGAACTGTCTGATAAAATAAGCCTTCTTTGTTTGAATAAAACCTACAGTATCCTCAAAGGGTAAATAGTTGACGAAGACTAGCCACGGCTCATAGTCGACAGGTGCGAATTCGCCAGCGTATCGTGTGCCCTGCTTGACACCGTCAACGAACACTTCTCGAGTGACGGCACGGTTGGGGTGAATCTGTAATAAAATCGCTACTGTGAGCAGTTGCTGACAAGATCAAGAAGCATCGGTAGACAATCTCAGAGTAGAAAACTACGAGTGAGATGGGACCTGTTGGAAGGATTACTATGATGAGGCACATTCAGGGATTTATTTGCGCGGCGTGCACTTGCGTGCACCCAGTGGTATCGCTCAAGCAGTGGGTCGGTGTCAAGAGCTAGGAGAACAGTCCGTCACGGTTCCTGCCCCTGACTCTTTTCTTTATGCACCGATCACTACTGGTAGAAAACCCACGTGGGGTGGGCTCATTCCACACTTGTTGACACCGCCCCGCCCATTTGCAACGATTAACACTCGAAATCCTTGACATGCGGTAGGCGTGGCTGCTTACTCCAACTGAGCGAGGCGGTGGCTGAGCTTTCAGTGAGATAAATTCATTTTGAGGCAATCGTGTTCAAGTCTTTGTTAAACACAGGACAAATTGACAGTTGTTTCAAGCTGAAATATAACCCCATCCTGTGCCATGTCCAAATGCTACGCATATCCCATCTCAGGTACAAGGAGTGAACCTGGTACTGCTAGAATATCGGAAGAATTGCGAAAAAATCTAGATATGAATTCCGCAGAATAAGGAATCGGAGAAGGGTACATCTGCTTATCAAGTAGGATGTATCGATCTACGGAGTTTTACCCACAGTTTTACCCTACTATCGGTATCGCGGACTTTGTATCGTAACACCTTTCCGAACCCCACTTAGACCGAGGTGGGAAATCAATGCGCATCTAATCCTTTTTGCGCAATCTAAACTGCTCAAGTTCTGAGGTGTCGCAAGTAAACTCTTATGTTAACGTGGAAGGAAGGAAGTCACGTGTCCGGATATTTCATCCTTCTTTATCGCCGGAATACTCCCGAAATGGTGGGAGTGAGGTGACAGAGAGGAGAGAACTCATATCCTTCGTACTGACATGTGAGAAATCGTCCACGCCCTATTCCGTGTAGGCTCGTGCGAGGTGGTATTGATGGAGACCTTATCTAGGGCACTTCAGAGGTTTTTTTCTGCTTTTTTATCTCCACTGTTGTATTGTGTGTCACCTTATCATCGGTATATGAGCCCTACTCTCTATTGCTTCTGATCGTGTGTGATCGTGCGCCAGCGTCCGCCATTACCAGGTGTGCAGAGGCCCTTCGCTGGCCCAGCTTACGGTAACCCGGCCCTGATCGGTAACCGCAAACTATGTACCACCTTCGCGGCTTGGAGTCGCTCGGAATCAGCGACAGGGTTTGCGACCGGGGCGTATCATTCGTTGGGGATTTTGATCGAGTCCGTGTGCTCCCACTCTAAGGGGGAGGTTGATGCTACCCACCCCTTCTTCTCACCACTGATACGATCGAGCTGTCGAGCGGGCGGGAGGTAAGGAGCTCATGTACCGCAAGGAAAATACTGCTTTCCACCCCATCCTACCTACCAGTTGTTTAGACTTTCTCAACTTACTGTCATTTTTTTCGGGATCCCTCTAAGATTTTCCAACGTTTTCCCCAAAATTTTGCTGTCGAGTGGCAGAAGAGGGGGTACCCTGTCGTCCCAGCCTCTGTCTTTTCTGGGTTCAGTACACATCTCTTTGCCGTGGGTTCTATGGTGCTTAGAATCAACATGTGTCCCAGTGAGAGCGACGTTTTTTTTTGCTTTCTACACTATTGAGGTACACACACCTTGAAAGTCCTCTTTATACCTCACTACTCAGTCAGGCTCTACTAATTTTCTACCAGTAGCGGACTCGCTCTTCGAGGCATATGTGAAAGTCGCTTCTAATAGGGATGGTTACTTAATGTTCAATTACCGTGACAGCCAGCAGCTTCCCAATCATTTTAACGTGTACTGAAAAGCGTGCTGCACATGGTTGCTAGTAATGAGCTCTTACTGGACGGTATTCAGGCGCTACGACACAAAAATCTTGCTGAAAGCCACTGATCACACTATAGAAAGGGCACATGGGGTTTCAAGGATAGCGCATCGAAACAAGTCAGTGATCCGAGTGATTCGATGGCTACCGGACCGCATCGAGCTGTGGGGTAAACTGATTGATAAGATAAGTTCACCACTCACCCACTCGAGAGGATGCGGAGTAATTATCATGAACACACGGGCCCTTAACTAGTCCAGTGGTGAGATACACACGTGACTTCCTTATCTTCCTTTTTCATTTGACTAAATCACCTACTTCAGGGCGGTCGTCGACATTTACGATCGACTAGAACGTGGCAAATAGCCGAAATTAACAAATCGCGGAGCGCGTATATGGTTCCAATCAATATCTATTATTCCATTAGACAAAAAGGATACCGATTAGCAATGACTTCATTACCACATAGAATATCTCCTGTCCATCGAATTGCTTCCAGGCTGGCATTAAGAGAAGTTCCTCGTCGTCATCAGCTGACGTCTCCATCATCTCAAGCATCGCATGGTTGGTCGGTGAAGTGTATTCGTGACGTGAACTGCACCACACTATCAATTTGCACCCCGCTCAGGTTTGTCAAGTGAATGCAGTCTTTACTTAGATGGAAATAAGAATTCGAGTGGAATTCTATACTTACACACTATGGTCGAAGGGCCGATACATTGCCAGAGGCATCGTACCGTACGAAATCAATGTTGCGTTACCAGGATGTTTAAGGAGAGGCGGGCAATCTGAACATTGAAAATTACCAAAAATTTTGTCATTCAACGGTATAATCCAGCGTGGATGAATGTAGCTGCGCTGTGCCGCACATCATTCAACTACCACCGATATGACTTCCGAAACTCACCCCACTGCCACCGCTCAGATGTATACCAAGGATAACAATAACGCGTAGTCATCATCGATACGATTTCAACCTTTCAGTTAGATAGCGCGGTCAGAAGTAGCGTTAACTAATCATTCGCTGCTGAGAAGGGCTGTCGGTAGGTAGTCTGTCGTTGTAGGCTCTTGATGTGAGCGTTTAAAATACAGAGGCGAGTAAATCTGAAAAAAAATGAATCAGGAGTCATTGTTGTAAATGCTGGACTTTACCAGAAGCCTCTTTTTGGCATGACCGTAAGATCGGAACGCAAGAACAGTTAAGAATAGAATAGAAAAACTGGATCACCCGCTGTCGTATTTGGCCTCCAGAAAGTATTTCTAGTTGTTCAAAAGTTTTCGAGGCTTTCGGTAACATGTAAGTACACTCCAGTTTGCTGCGGACAGTTGGGCGTGTCAGGCAGCGTGCATGCGACAAAAGCGGTAGAAAACGAGTAATACGAACGAAATGATACAGTCATATCATTTGGTCACTTTAGCAACTGGTGGAGAACGAGTTTGGCACCGCGCCAAACGCATCCCGCCTGAGACGCCCAACCGTCCGCAGCGAACTGCACTCTGAATGGTCGATCATGGAGACGGTAGACATGTACTCTAATTCGCTGCGGACGAAGAGGCGTGTCAGGCAGTATGAGTGTTATTTTGTTCGGCGAAAAACTTCTGCCAGTTGTTGAAGCGGGCATGCGACAACTGGTAGAAAATGAGTGATACGAACGATATGATACAATCCTGTCATTCGCTCGCGTCAGCAGCTGGTGAATGCAGGGCACGCCGTCTTGGTGGAAAATACAGCAGAGGGTCGTATATATCTATCCGCGAAGAGCTTCATAACGCTGCTCTCCGCTCTTCAGTAGCTCAACTCTCAAAAAAATTTACGGGCTTTTGAAAACAGAGTACTTCCGGAGTCGTGTCTTACTTTGAAGGATACGGCGAAATAGTGGCTTGTTCTGCTGCACAAGTGGAACGGCGTTTCGAACGCTCGCGTGCAGTCTCCGATCGTGCGCGAAGGTCTAAATTCAAGTATCCCGTTTGATGTCATGTACTATTTTGCCTTTTTTTCGGGGGGAGGGCGTAGCGGTACTCGCTTTCGGAGGAAGACGGGTCGTACTGGGCAAATATTTATCACTGCGTGCACTGGGTGGGGAACGAGTTTGGCGCCGTGCCAAACTCATCCCTTTTGACAGACCCATTCGTCCGTAGAGAAACCACACTAAATATCCTCAATATGGCCTGCAACTCAATCGAATCTTCTTCTCGACTATCTTTGCTAAGGAAATCTGGCTGTTACCCTATGCTGTTGTTCCATGTAGTACCTCTTCAAAAATGATGGAAAATAACGCGACATATCAACTGAAACTCAGACAGGATGTTCCTTGGTTGTACCAGCCTCTCAGTTGACAAGGTGATCACCATCCCACTATCCTACTATATATAATCCGCTAAGTGTGTCTGTGTGTGTAGTTTGTGTGTGTGTGTCACGAATTCCATAACACCTGTCAGAGCGGCAGAGAAACGTTGATTCTAGGAAGTGACGGAGGGAGTGTGACGGGAACACCATTGATGGGTGACAGGTTGTGATATCAGTTGATAAGATTCGATAAGAGGCGTTCAAAGGGGATGGTCACCCAGGCCATAGTGCGTGTCACAGCAGCAGTGGAACGGTGGTTCCGAGCAGTGAAATAGGAAGTGGAACGGAAACATCATTGGTAGGTGACAGGATGTTATATCAGCTGATAAGACTTGATAATGGGCATTAGAAGGGAAGGACTACCAAATTCATAGTGCGGCTCAGAGGAGCAGTGGGTCATTGGATCCGAGAGGTGATATAGGGTGTGGGACGGCATTATTGGCGGGTGACAGAAAGTGATAACAGTTGGTAAGATCCGATAAGGGGTTTCGGAAGGGGAGGGTCATCAAATTCGTAGCGCAGGTTACAGCAACAGTGGGAGCTCAGATCCGTGAGGTGATGAAGAGTGTGGGACGGGAACATTATTGGTGGGCGACAGTGATAGCAGTCGATAAGATACGGTAAGCGGCCTCGGAATGGGAGGGTCGCCAAATTCATAATGCAGGCTACAGCAACAACGGGAGCTTGGATTCGAGAGGTGCTATAGGGTGTGGGACGGGAACATTATTGGCGGGTGACAGAAAATGATAACAGTTGATAAGATCCGGTAAGGGGCTTCGGAAGGGGAGGGTCATCAAATTCGTAGCGCAGTTTACAGCAATAGTGGGACCTCAGATCCGTGAGGTGATATAGGGTGTGGGACGGGAACGATATAGGGTGCGGGACGGAAAATCTTCGAAAGCTCCTTTACTCTTTTTCTAAAATAGTTTGTTCGGGTCCCAGGACTTTTTGATGAACGCATGATATTGGGACAAGATAGAGGGTAGTAGAGCTTAGATAAATGGGATACAAATGAACAAAGCTCAAATAAGGGAGCTGCAAAATTCCTGTTGAGAAAGTTCCCTGTCGCAGTGCAATGCTACTAATGAATTACACTGTTTTTAGGTGTTCCACTTGTTCGGAGGCTATGTGCAGTGATGGGGAATGCCTTTCTCGTCGACAACTCTGTGATGGTAATGCGGACTGTACAGACGCATCGGATGAGCAAGGCTGCAGTGGTTCGTTTTGAACCTATTCTTATATGCAAGTAGTTTACGTATGGCCTTCTCTTTTGAAAAGACATTAATGCCAGAGCTGGGACCAAGGGCATCGCTTATACATACATACTTGGTCCTTCTTATGAGCAAAGTCTTGTCAATAGGGAAGCTAGGATCACTACCAAAAATGTAAAATGCTGTCCTCTGACTTGATAAAGAGACAAGAGATGACTGTGCATTTGGGGATTGTTGTTCTTCCTTGCGTTTTTCCCGATCTTCTCTTTTATCGGAAAGATTGAGAAGCAAAAGACTGAGCAAGAAGTAAAGAGTAGAAAAAGTAGGCAAAGAGATGAGCCTACGTTTTCTACTCTTTTCTTCTTTCTTATAGTTGGAGGGGAAGAAGGGAAGGTAATCACCACAAAGCATTTGATTTGTACTGTATGCTCCTGTGTGGTGATTACTTTCCCTCCTTTCCCTTCAACCATAACTCGCATTTGTGCCCCTTTTCATTTCATTACTTTCTATCTTGAGATACTGGCTCCCAGATGGAGCACGTCCCGTGATCACAAGTGGTGGGTAGTGGGGGTCGTATAAGAATGACAAAGTGGCAAAAGTCATAGGTGAAAGAAAAGCCGTCGCCCTAGATAAGACCCACCCCTGATCCAAACTTGTACAAGCCTACGGCGAATAGAGGGTCAGCGGCACGGAGGGTGTGCTTCGATGATTTCTCATTTGTTGGTATCATAATCATGTCGACTTCCTTATCACTCGGTAACCACTCAGATTGGAAAGAGTTATACTTTAGTTGCGGACGGTTGGGCGTATCAGGCAGTATGAGTGTCACGCCGTTAAAGGCGTTCTCTGCCTTCTTGTAAGCGCGCTGATGGGAGCCAAAAGTATAAAACAAGATACGAACGATATGATACAGCCTTGTCACTTCCTCGCTTCAACAACTGGAGGAAAACGGGTTTGGCACCGCTCCAAACTCATCCCGCCTGACACGCCCAACCGTGCGCAGCGAACTGCATTGTGGGCGGAGCAGCCGCACCATCGGATAGCAATGAGGAATGAACGTGGGGCGTGGCATGGAGCGGTGAGTGGTGCCACCCACTCTCTGTGATTGCTGATCGCACTACCCTCTCCAAGGAAGCCGTCTACACATCAGGTGATTGGGACTTGCCTCGAAGAGTGAAAGATGCTAATTGGAGGGTAATGAAGGTGTGGGTAACACGCTCTTGGTTGTGCAATAACATTGTACTATTGGCTTACCATTCTCACATATCCATGCCCTAACTTCCCTCGGACAGCAGCAGTTTTCTCTCCAGTAGGCTTTTTTGATTCCACTTTGGCTATGTTAAAATACTATTGGAGCTTGCAAGTAAAGATTCAGACTACTTCTTTGCTTCTACACTCGGGATTTCCAGGTATTTCTTTTCGCCTGATGGACGGTAACGAAGTGAGCGGAAATGTGCAGGTTCTATTCAAAAGTGTTTGGCAACCTGTTTGTCAACAGCACATCGAACAAATAGCTGCTGATAAAATTTGTAGCAGCATGAACATGGGGTGAGTCTTCGTCTTAACTGTACAAGACGTTTAAGCTTTCTCCTTACCGTCACATATGTCTGTCACACAAGCGAGTAGTGCACTTGAGAGGATGAGGGACGAAGTGCCTCTTGAAATAGGTAAATCCATTGAATTTAGGAGCGAATTTCATTCAGTAACTTCGTACCTAATTGAGATGGAAGTGTGAAATTTCGCATGATTGAAATATATTAGGTCATCCCATTCAAACGTGCCGCTGATTTTTTTTGAATAAAACAAAGAGGAGAATAAATAGAAAAGTGATATTTTAGCCTCAGGATGAGTAAATCCCTCCTTCACCACTGACCCTCTCCCAGTGCCCCGAGGGCCTTTGGACCTCTGGTACCTTCGATTTTTCAATGAGTGTGGGTAAATTGCTTTTGTTGTCAATTTCGGCAAGTGACAAAACATTGTAGCGTCTGCCGTTGCGAGAAGTACTCTCAATTGAATAGAAAAGTTGTAATCGCATGGCTTTATGACGGGCGAATGGGGCGATTGAACCCAGGTCTCAGTATTGTTTGTGTCCCAGCAGTGATCTACAATACAGTTACTCGGGGTCTGGTACTACGACGAGCAACGGTGGCTCTTGTAGTTGTGTGGTAGCATCCATTTGCCGATCTGATTATCGAGGAACAGGCAATACACACCGACAGTGACGGATTTATTCTCTGTATAGAGCCGCTTGAAAGCTACGGTGTGGGAATCTTTGCTATGATGATCATCCACTTGCGCCCACGTAACTCTCCATGGTAGAACTCGGGCGGCTTCCCATCTGCATTCATACAAAATTGACGATTGTGCGTTTCGGCTCGAGGTCCCAGACCACCCATATTTCACCTAAGGCCTGGGCGCATTTCACAGTTGTGAGTGACATCTCATGCTGAGAACATTACTGCTGGAGGTATAGAATCGGTACTGCGCTCTTGCTTCTATAAGAAAATTAGGTACCCATGCGCCACCCTCTTGACCATCCTCAGTTTATCGGACATAACTCGGGCAGCAGTTGCAGCTGGGATGTCAGACTCGCGGGGAAGCTCGACAATGGTCCAGGCTCTATGATCAGATAAAGGAGAGAGGGTGGATGAAGTCAGTGCCTGACTTCATCCACCCTTTTTTCTTGTGCAGGATGGATATTATGGGACCATCCACGACAACAAATTTTTTCCTTTCTTCCTTGTACGGGCTCCTGAACCAAATCTTCCACCGGGTATTTCGAGAACACCCTTACACACAACTATGATCCGGCGCAGGTCAAATTTGAGCGGCGCACTTTCCTCATATGACGTCTGATTTGAAAAACCGGCGCCGATTTTCACCACTCAGGCTTCTTTTCAATTTCTCGAGAACTTCTTCTGGGGCTAGGTTCGCCGAATTTCACAGATACACAGCTCAAGGTATCTTCCAAATGGTATAGTAGCGCGCTGCTCTATCCCCTTCGCTTTTCTTCCATTCCCCTATATGTAGCGGCACGTTTGAATGGGATGACCTAATACAATGTTCTCCTTACTTGTTAACAAAAACTTGTCCAGATCTCGAGGTCAGTTGATAGCACAATAATGGCATTATTGTCGTCAATATTGTGTGGGCGTGGGTGCGTGCGTGCGTTCGTGTAATTGTGTGTACGTAATGTACACTCGAAATCCTTGAAATGGGCAGACGTGATGGCGTACTTGAGTTGGACGTGGCCAGCGACGTTCAACTCAAGTACGCCACCACCTTCGTGAGGGATTTTCACTTTGGGAAAGCTGCTATCATGTCTTTTTCCAACAAAGTACAAGAAAACTTGTTTCAAATAAAAAGATTCCACGAGGAACCCAACCTGAGCCTTTCCAAATGTCACATCCAATGTCTACTGCGGATCAGTGATGAGGGGCTTATGAACGTACAAGGTGCAGCATCGTGATGCGTGAAATGGCGGTATCAGTATGTAAGACCCTACTCTCCCCCCCCCCCCGGAGAAGGATCCTGGTACGTCCCCCCACTTTCCAGCTCCAATTGTTTGCTCTGATGAGAACGAGTAGATACGTAACGACTCGCAAGCGCTGTATTGCATGGCAAATTAGCAGTGAAGCAGGTCTGTTATCCGGGTGTTGGCGGACTTTTTCTGGGGCTGACAGCTTTTCTAGGGGTGGGGCTTTTGTGAAACGGAGGGCGGCATGTTGAAATTATGTCTATACCAGTGTATGTTCCATTTACACGCAATCTGAATCTCCTCCCATACGTGAAATATTTCGGATGGGTTACGAACGCGTTGGTGGTAAATCGCAAGCGGGTTTTCACGATTCAGATGAGAATAACTTCTTCCAGTAGTAATCTTTTGCAAAACTGGGAGCATCCTAAACGCACTCGATATTTCTCTTGCCAACAAGCCTTACAGTTTTCCTGAACACCAGCTAGTTTAGAAGATGTTTTAGATGGGTCACCCCTGGGATATTCTAAGCCACTCTGAAGCTCGACTCCCCTGTGCCATTGTAGGGACATTCATTCGCGAACTTCAATATCCCTTCAGAACACATATTTCCGTTGAACTGAGTCAGAGTATAATCTGGTTATCTTAGATGGCTTTGGTCCGAGTGTGCGCGATGCATTACCGTTTTACGCAGAGGTGGAGGAAAGGTGTAACTTCCAATTTCAGGAGGTTTTTGTCCATGCAAGCAGACGTTGTTTAGGATTTGGAGGGGTCGATACCATGAATCTGTTTGAGATGTTATTTAGTTAACTACGTACTATCGAGTTCATGCTACCCGTTGATCTGGGTCCTCTGCGCAGCTTTCCGTTCGCTTCACCAAAGTTAGCAACACTTTTGTGCTGTTTGGTCCTCACCGGCCCTACGCTTACGAGTCCTCCCCCCTACCCTCCTCAGCCGCTAAGTACGACTCCCCGAGAGGTTTCGCACAACGATGCTGTGAGTGTATGGCGTCCCCAATAACAGGTATTGTTGCCATGTTCTTCTTTAATGGCAGACTTCGCGATGAGCCTGCGAAAAAAAAATCGTAGGTGCCGTGGTTAAGAAACAGAACTGTATGTGTTAGTCGACTCGCTCTTGCAGAAAAAAGGAAAGAAAACTGTCGATAGTTCCAGAAAGACTCTTTTCGTGTCACGTGAAAGGAAAATAATCAATGTGGATATGGGGAGAGCGGCCAGCGAAAATAGCGAGGCAGCATACACAGAAGGAGAGCGCAAATAAGACACCTATCAACTTTGGCGGAGTCACTTGGGCAACCTTGCCCCTTACCGCCGCTACCTCGCCACGTTCTGACGTGAGATTTACACAGGTTTGTTCGCTGCAGCACACTACCTGTCCAGACGGAGTTTAGCTAATTAGAAGTTGGCTATGCCTTTGAGACATTAGAAAGTAGGCGAATGGTGATATGAGAGCATAGGGATCACCTAGAAGGAAAATCTAATCAATTCCTCGGTAGAATAGGCAGTGATCCCCTAGTGATCCCCTTGTGATCCTGATAAAGGAGATCTGCAGGAACGGACCGAATAACTTTTTGCAGATTTTTACCGAATTTGCGATTTTAAGAGAGATGTTTCCCTTTCCATGAGTTTTTCCACGATTCTCGACTCCCAGTGTCGCAAAGTACCAAAGGCATAAGACACGATAATTTGCTACTCGATTCAGAAAGCAATTTCGGAAGAACTCCCTGCTAGCCTCGTGCCAATAATTGATGCGGTAAATACGGGCACAGTATGTAGTCATATATCCATGCAGCACCGCAGCCGCTTCATATCAATCCCTTCGCTTCATACTGTTCTTCGGAAATAAAACCATAGCATCACCATCGGTCGGACATTTGTAGGTGTGCGGGCGCGGTGGTCGTCCGGGTCGGTATGTTGCAGTTTGATAGGGCGTTACATATAACGTATATAACGTTATATACGTTATATAGTTTGATAGGGCGTTATAAGAGTACCCCCCTAGAAGACAGTCATTAAAATTTTCTATGTGGCACTTCCGTTAGTGAGGAAGATTTCGCACAATAAACTATTGCCGACGGTACCAACCATTTGGTATACTTCCTACGATTATCCCTTACTAACTTCATCTGCCAAACCATTCCTCAGTTCCACCTTACTCCCCATTTCGTGGGGTTTTTCGAGTGCGTTTTGAGGGTTTTTGTCCTCGGCACTTCGGCAAACGCCCCGTCCATCAGAGGTGTGCTTCATTAATTTCGTCCTTCAACGATTGCCTATTTTTATTTTATTTTATTATTATTATTATTTTTTTTATTTTATGAGTCATTATTTTATTATTTTTGAAATATGTGGCCCGCAAATGTGCGCACGCCCCGCCCACAGTGGGCGGGGCTTAGCTTAGTTCATGTGTGTTCCGTACATCCTGGCCCATGCCCTACCGAACCCACCCTTGGCCCGTCCCCTCCAACTGGCTCTTCAGGTGATTCCGAATTTCCGGACAGACAGACAAACAGACGTTGCCGTTTATATAGGTTGGAAGGAAAGTCCCGTCACTGCTGTGACTTTTTTCTTTTTTATTTCCTAACTCAACATACAATGGAAATTAGTCAACAATGAACTCGTCATAGTTAGCCACTACAGTGCTCCACCTAATGGGCAGGCAAGCATTCCCCCTCTCCCAGCACTGGGAAGACTGCGAGTAGCGTAAATCAAAGTTCAAGGTCATCAAAGTTGCTGTAAGTTTTCTGGGCTAAGCAAGCCTTAAGGAGGAGGTGCAGGTGGCAGTCGTAGCGGACTAGGTCAGGAGAATATGGCAAGCGGGGACTGGCCTCCCAGCCTTGCTCCTCAGATATTTGGTAGGTCTCCATAGCAGGTATGGGGTCTCGCGTACTACGAGCGAGTTATCCCGAAGTTAGTCTCGGTCATTTTTCTCCAGCGATTCCCATCGGTTTCAGAGACTGAGCGACACAAATGGTGGTGATGACCGTCTGTTCTTATGGAGCAGCTCGTTCAGCAGTGCCTCCTCGCGTCCTAGGAGCACAGAAGAACTTTTTCGAAATACATTCCCGGTTTGGACTGCTAGAAAGGGTCTTCTTCTTGAGCGAGACACACGGTACTGTGTGGGTTGAAATCATAGAGGACCCATCTCTCATCTCCACTAAGCAGCCCCTTAGAAACTCCTTTTGACGAAAGCGGAGAAGGAGAGACTGATCAAGGCGTATCCGGGTGCGCAGCGTGCCACCCGGTCAAGGTATGAGTGATCCATCTAGCCAGTACTTTTCGGTAGTCAAGGGCTTGCAGGCGGTCGACTACTGTCAGTTAGGTACATCCGAGTCTTGTCGCAAGACTGCGGGTGGTAGCCTCTGGATCCTCCTTGTTTACTTCGAGAATGGTGGAGTCTTCCGTTCCGTGGGCTCTTCCCTACCAAGGTTTGCCTTCGAGGTTCGAGTCTCTTTTCGCCCTGCGAGCGAACCAAAAATGAACGGTCCTAATGGTACAGGTGTCCTCCAGCAATGCACTGTTCATGTTGCTGGCAGCTGCCGTGGCTCCAGTGCTGCGGGGCCACCGATGCGTGGTGATGACCCGAAGATGCTCCTGTGGAACTAACATCGTGATCAGACCCTAGAATCAGAATAGAATCAGCTCTTAGTATATTCTACAAGCGTGGTATGTTACGTCATGTTCAAGCATCGAGAATCAAAAACTTAAAAAAAACTGTAACCTTCGTAAAAAAAACACTGACAGGACTTTCCTTCCAACCTATATTTAGTAAGATCCTTCTTAAAAAGGCGCCACGCAGCGATTGTCCAGGGGCGCGAAATCCAGTCCTGCTTGGCGAATCAATCCTACTTCTTGGGGATTTATTGTGGCAAATGCAACTCTTCAAGCGGTAACGATAATCGGCCCAATAAAAATTTCTTGACTCGAACTCAACAAAAGCAGTCGAATACTTTTGAAAGTTCGAGTATGGTTTGCTGTGCAGCTCTTCAATGAGATCTCTTTCTATATGTTTCCACGTGCATCTGGTATTCCTGAAAACTGGTTCGATTCTAGTAGTTTGGTAGTGTGCTACTGACTGTAAATGCAACATTTATAGATACTGAGCGCTAGGTAAGAGATCTCGTCTACTTCAGTAGAGCACAAGGTGCTGTAATAAAGTTGCAGAGAAGAGGTGTTGATATAAGTGACCCCTAGTGACTTTCTTTTCATAAAACTCGACTATCTTAATAGTTCAGGACGCCGGCAGAGGTACTTAGACCTACTACGACAAATGTATATGGCTGGTTAATCGACTGTGAGCGAGAATGCACGCTTCGAGGCCTTGTCCCTTGTCGTTATGTATCACGTATTCGTTGTCATTCGCAAAAAATTGGTAGGTCTCTTATTGTACTACCTTTATGGCTAGCCCTGCAGCTCCCTTTCTTTGGAGTCTAGAAAATTGAAGAATTTGAGGCGATGAAACCGCCTACTGCGTATGTAATTTAGCAACAATTCACCCCATCGAAATTTACGAACTGTGAGGTCTAGGCAAATCACAAGAGCAAGCCAGTGCAGTGTTAATCATCTCTGAAGTCGTTCTGCCTTGAGTGTCTTCCAAAAGTCTCATTTATTCGAAGGAAAAAAATTGGTATGACTCCCACTCATAGTACTACTTTTATGGCTATGAACCTTCTATTAGTCTTTACTTTCTGCGTCTGAGGCTACACTCCTTCAAAGGCAAAGCCCGCGATCATTTGCCATTACAGATAGTGGACTAGGATTTCGCACACAGACGAGAAGGTTCTAAGTAACTCGATTCAAGAGAAAAGCAGAAAAAAAAGAAGGCCAACTGCCCTAACTAGAACCCCATTCCGATATCAGTTTGACGTGCCAAGATACCTCCATCTTCAACACTAAGCCCTTATCCGCACAGCTGATTCCCGGATAAGAACGGTACGACAGTACAGGTGACGATTTCCATGGTTTTTCGTCCTGCACCTTCGTTTTTCACTGTGAGCGGCCCTCGAGGGCGGAGTCTGGGGGCGGAGTCACTGGAAAAAGGAGGCGTCACTGAATCATATCAAGCTACAGCGCCCCCCCCCCTCCGTATTTTGTGTGACGAAACCGCTATAAGGTTCTTCCTCGCGGGCCACACTCCACTCCCGAAGCCATATTTTCAACTTCTATACCTGACGGCGGACCGTATCTTTGAAAAGGTGTAAAATGATTTCTCTTATAACTTTTCTGTCTCAGACAACTGTCACCCTGTTTTGTGGTGGACAAGCATTATTACAACTGAGCCAAAACGGCAATACTCCAACAAGAGCGCACTCGCCACCACGTTCAAATGAATTGTGCAGTCTTTTGCTTGTCATATCTACGGTGTGGAGTGTACATACATCTTTGCGGTGTGTGTGTGGTACGGCAAGGCGTTGCAAACTGCTCCACTTCCTAGACAACACCTGCCATTCTTACGGTCTCATGTAAAATACACAATACGGGGATGCACATAGTGTTCCCTACTTACGTGGTATAGGTAAACGCGCAAGTTTAAACAGCCCACGCAAGTAAAGCACCCTCACATTTCTTTTCTTGTGCGTACTGTACTGTCCGCAACGGATTCTGGGGCGTGTCAGGGGGGGGGGTCTGAGTTTTGCATTACGTCAGGCTGTTCTCCACTAATTGCTTTCGCTAGCCCGCCTCAGTAGGTGATGGAGGACGGGCTGGCGCCGCGCCAACCTAGCCCAGCCCCACATGGCATGTCCTAGCATTCTCAGTGAACAAGACTGTAGTTGTCATTTCATAAAGATTTTCACTATTACAGTTGGGTCAAGTACATGTGGCGTTCGTCGAGTGGCAGCAGTTGCTCGAGACCCGCTTCACCTACGATTTGCACGAGTCGTTGGCGGATTCGAGACGTTTCCGGAGCTTTTCCATGGACAGCAGAAATCAAAGTGAAAGCTGTGAGCTACCTAGATTTTACGACTTATGCGAGACTAACTATTTGCTCAGATATATGATTTGTGCTGTAAAACTGTCACAGCGGTATTACCAGAGAAGTCGTACAGCCATTTCAGACTGGAGCTCATCATTGTGGCGCTAGTATTCTTGATGGAACCCACCTCATCACAGCTGCTCATTGCTTCGAGTTCGTGTTTTTATGCATCCTCATCCTGCTTTGGAGCTCTTTATGCATCATTGCCCTGCTGTGGAGCATGATACAGGAAGCATGATGAACAACATTTTGGCTATGTCCGGCTAGAGGGACCTTTGTCGATTCTCAGTGTTCTAGTCTCCATAGGTCAAGCATCCCTTTCAGGATTGCTTCAAGAAGTCCCCCGCTGTTCGGGGCCTGAATAGCGTAGTTTCAGATAATAACTACACTTCAAAAAAAACTGGATGTTACATATATCCGGATTTTCCAGAGGAGACCGCCGTCCGGCTTCCTATATCGTTGTTGTGGGTGAATGGGATATCACCGTAAAAGAAGGACACGAACAGACATTTGACGTCTCTCACATCTATTTCTACCCACTCTATGAAGGTACGGCTTTTACATGTAGCTTTTTTTTAGCTGACATTCTTGAGTGCTCTTGAGAGGCAGTCGTAAACACCAGAGAGCTGATCGGATAGCCCGGTACTTCGTGCTACTTTTAGGCTTGAAAAAAACTAAGCGTTGTTGTTAGTTTCAGTGGTAAGAGAAAAATGTTGTAAGGGATATCTGCACATTCCGAAAAACTTTGTGTTGCCCAGATATGCATTCTGACGATACCGGATAAGACTGAAGTGGCCGCTCATCCCAGAAGAATTGATTGACATTGACCCTTGTTACAAGCTTATTATTATTGGTGATTTTTCATAACAATTGTTTGTTGCCCACAGTACTCTGGAACATTTCAGATCTCTTTGCTCATGATCTTGCTATTCTGGAGATCGACCAACCTGGAATAAAGTTTGATGACTGGGCCCAGCCCATTTGCTTGCCTCCGCGACAGTTCACATATCAGAAGGGAAGAAAATGTGTGGTGTCCGGCTGGGGCAGCGTTGGGCTTTGTAAGTGAAGTATAGCGATTATTATATACTAGTCGGATCGCCCGGCTAACGCCGAGCTCTCCTCCTTCTTGGAAGCCCGGCTTCGCCGGGCTCATGCAACTGCTTTAGAGTCGTGACTAACCGCTTCTTCTAATCAAATGAATGTAGAAACGCGCCATATGATCGCAGGGCACTTTCATGATGAAAAGTTCAAAATCTGGTCATGGATAATCGATTACTCTCCTCCCCATCTTATGACAGCCATGGATGCTTCGGTCTCCGCAGTCGCTGCGTGCTCCTGTTCAGGCGAGCGTCGGTCGCGCCAATATGGTACCCCTTCACCTCACCTATCCCCAAACTAGGGGAGCTATTCACAATCCAAACAGCTTCCTAGTTCGTTGCTGTAACATGGATTAGCTTGCAGTTTTGATAGCGGTTCTTTCCTTCTGTCCTGCCGCCTGCTCCTATCCAAGCGTACGCTACGCATCGCCTTACTGTACCCAGTTTGCCCGATTCAATCCTTCTGCATGGCCTCATATCTGACTGAGTACGCGCAAGGGAGTGAGGATGGGAGAAGGGGGTCATTCGATACTAACTCTCACCTTCTTCACCTCACCCCATTCCGTACTAGCCCTCACCCCCCCCCCCCTCCACCTTGCCCCTTGCACGCGCTTACGTCCAACTGCCACGCGAGCAACCCGTTGCAATGGCTCGGAGTGTAGTGGTTTTCTTATATAGTGGAGAGTGTTGTCACAACCAAACAACTCTTAGTGTTTTACATGGAGACGTACTCGACAGCCAGATAGCATTCCGTTTGATATGCCATATCTAAATGAGAGTACGCCACGGAAGTCTAACAATATAGTCAAAAGCTCACCACTTCCCCATACAGGCTCATATTTCGTCCACGCCAATCTAAAAAAGCACTCTAAGCGTACTCCAGGCCTTATGAAGCAAAAATGCGGACGAGCGGAACTGCACTTACTGTAAATGAGAGAAAAATATGCCAACTCCGAGGAACGGCTGTATTTGATAAGAAGCCAGGGATCGCGGGCAAAATATATCGAGGAGAGACAAAAATGCCACTCTTCAAACGATTAGATGAACACCGCAGGGCCCTAAACAATCCGGCTTCATACCCGGATAACAGTCTCTCAAAGCCCGCACCACCTGCATATTACACGAAGGTCTCCGGCAATCACCATTACAGTATTAGCACCAGTTCCATAGAAATACAGTGGAAAGAAACTATCTAGAAGCCACTCGGAAATAAAGGCTCTTCTCCGGAAATGAATAGTTAGGGATGAGCTACGTGATGCCGCTGCAGTGGATTCACTGACTACGGTATGATAAATGGTTGAGCGGGTCAGTGATATCATATGCAGAGCGCTCACCAGTCATTCCTCACTATTTAAGGGAGGATGACGGGTAGAATCGGTCGCAGTCAACACTAGAAGTCGCCACTTTTGCAAGACGGCGGAGGGCTATATTGGAGGCAGAAGCCAGGTCAGAGTCCAGTTCGGGCACCACTGAAGACAGATGCCGGGATCAGGTTGCAGCGGACTAACGTATAGTATTTTCAGATCGGGAGGAGGGGCTAGGCACCGAAATATTCGAGGAAAGTATTAAAAACAAAAATGTTTGCAAGACCTTTTGGATTCTTTTGAAGTCTTTTGAGTTTTTTGCAATAAATTTTTTGGCGCCTCTTTCAGTTTTCTGATTCAGTTAGTCGATTACTAACATGCGATTTGGATTGCAGTTTTGCTAGCGGTTGTTTCCTCATCCATTGGTGTGCGTTTTTACTGAAACGCGCGCTCCGCACCCCTCACTGTACCCCTTCCCCGCGACCCCTTCCCTCTGCCTCCCTCCAATACATGTGCTCAGCTCCGGCTGAGCACATACAGGAGAAGGAGGCAGGGCGACTGGCACTCCCACCCTGTCCCCGCACGAACACGTCCAGCTGCTACGGCAGCAGCTCGTGCAATGGCTTGGAGTGTACTGAGTGGTTGTCTTATATATGCTGTTATCACAATCAAAACATTGGATTGATACATCTGCACCGATGGGTTCGCGGTTTGGCTAGCGGTCGTTTTCTTCTTCCGCTAACGTGTTTGATCCCGTAAATCATTTTGCGGACGGACAGACATACAAACTGACATACATACCTACATACCGACAAACCGACACACAAAGTTTCTGCTTTATGAAATGTAAGGATTATCACGGAATATAAAATTTTCATGGTATTGTTCGATAAGTCGAAATCCTATTTATTACAGCATATCCTAGACGGCTTCAAGCCGCTGTGTTGCCTATTATTGACAGGATGGAATGTGTGAATTCTTCTCGCATATACAGCTCCATGAGCCGCTCAGCTTTTTGCGCTGGATACCTGCAGGTAAATTCACAGGTATAAGGCTATGAAGCGCTGAATTCCGCATCATTACGCGGGAACTTATACAAACTGCCAATTCCTTCGTATCGTTCTAATGATTCTTCTAACAGCACCAAAGTTGGGCCGCTGTTTTACGGATTTTTCTACATGTTTCCTTGCTTTTCTTTGCTGTAGACCATTTGGTACCTCACTTTCTTGCTGGACTCCGCAACGTGCGTATGCACCATCGTGATGGGCCTTTCAGAGAAGTCTTCCACTGTGCTATAATCTCATTTATTTAGGGCGGTGTTGACTCGTGTCAAGGCGATTCCGGTGGACCACTCGCCTGTCAGGACGGCAACGGTGAGTGGCAGAGTTACGTACTTTTTGCTCATCAACCTTTTATTGAAGAGACCAGTTCTCTAACGCGGTTCCTGTCCTACATACCTACTATACGTACTACAGCGGCCCTAGCCAGAGTAACACCAGGGACATCTAATCCGCCTTAGCGTTTGACATCTATTTCCTCTGACCGCTTCCCTAATTTTTCCCCCAAAAGTATCCCCATAAACTATGTGGGCTTTTGAGAGAAATGCTAATGGGCCGCTGAGGCGTCACCATGCGTCTTAGATATGACCTTTCTCCGAAGGTTTGTTGCCCCATGCACCTGCGCACGCAGGGACAGAAGGAGAAATACTATAGTATCAATCTCTTCTGTGGTTCGTGACATTTGCAAACAACCAACACGCAACTGAAATCCTGAACTCCACCTTGTGTAGCGGCAATAGTGATGGTAATAGGGGTCAGTTGTACTTTATTCGCTGGAAGCCTGATTCTTGAATTACGGTCATTTTGTTGTCGTAAGCGGGGTCGCCGACTTCATGGACCAACTAATGCCTTGCACATGGAAAAAGTCTCACCTGTCAGGTAATCGCGGAATGTGTTATCAAGTCCTATAAAGACTTTCTGCTGTCATCCAATATTTTATAGTACGACAGGCCCCTTTAAGATATCATTACGCAGTCATACTCAGTGGCTGCGGATACAGGGCACGCCATTGCGTTGTGATCATTTCTTGAAAAATACGTACCCCCCCTAATTCCATCTTCAAGTACGACCCCCTCCCCATGTTACCTCTTCCCTAGTTTTTCCAACCTCCTACTACCTTGTCTATTTTTCCCAAAAAATTTCTGGTTTTTTTACAAAATTTTGCTATCGATGGGGGGAGATCACAGTACCTACGTACTCCCAAGCACGTCCAGCACTCTGGCGCTGGTGTAGCACACCTACGAGGAGGGGGTGATGATAGGAGCTACGTCACCGCCCACAAGGCCTCATGAATTTATAAACAAACAAAAGGAATCACGACGTAACGATCAATAAAACAGATGGAAGTGCATTTCCGGACTTTCTGATGGTTGGAGCACATTTGCTTGCAACTGGGAGGCCCTATCTAGAAGTTACACCTTCCAAACACCTGCGTGAAAGGTCCGTGCATGGCGCATTGCAGAGGTGATGCCAATTGCGCCCAATAGCCTATTTCCTGATACCCTTTGCGAAAACATGTATTTTAGAAACATACCAAAGTCTTCAAGCCAACTGGAGGTTCCATGGCTTCGCTGATGGCTTGATTTTTCGTGTCGTGGGAGGATGGTTACGAAATGATCACAACGGGGAATTTTTCGAATAGCAGGCCTAGGAAGGAAATTAAAGCCTTGCTGTAAAGTAGAAATCTTCAAGCTTCCGGCACAATTCTTTTTTTCACGAAAGGCCGTGTATGAAGCTTGCCATGGACGTCCAAAGCGTAGCGACTCGCGGTTCGCTAAAAGGATCACAGACTGATCACAACGATGATCACAACGGGGAAAATCTCTGGAATCGGAACCTTCTCGAAATCGCTCAATTCAGGTTTCAAGAGCCAACTTGGCTCTACTCATTCCCACTTACCCCTCTCCGATAGCTTCAGTTCAACGAAGTTATGGGTGTTCAAATGAGGGGTACTTTTCACGTGTTTGGCTTGAAATTGGCTCCAGGCCGTAAAATAGCGCACACTAATGAGCTTGTGTGAGCGCGCTGACCGCAAGAGCCAAAACTCAAAAGTAATCCATAGTTCCGGTTCCCAGCTGGCCTAGTGAGTTTTTTTTATCCATTTGATTGTGAATTATTTTGATTGTTTGTTTTTGCTGAGTTTTATTTTGTTTTGTTGAGTTTGATTTTGTTGTGAGGAAATTGCTCAGGATTCAATTTCTACGGTTTCATAGGTAGCTTTTGCAATGGATTCTTCTCTAGATTTTGCGGATTAGTGGATTGAGATTTATCTAGACCAGATGAGGAGGGTTGGTGGGCGAAGTGTCTTGAAGTTTTTTTTGTGAGGAAGGAGGAAAAATTTTCAGCAATATTTTTTTTAGTTCTTGGCCTAGGAAGAGTTCGATAGTGCCCAGTTCTATTTATTGTCACCTACATCGTCCCTTTTGAACTTCTTTTCACTTGTACCGTGTATCACCGCTCTCTCCACCTCAACATGGGCCATGCGTTTACGACCACACCCCCTCCATCGCGGGCGAATACGACCCCCCCCCCGTTGTGATGATCACAAAGATGGCGTGCCTTGTGCGGATAAGCCATTCATTGCTGCTACTACACTCTAAATTCGCTGCGGACGGTTGGGCGTGTCAGGCAGTATGAGTGTGTCACCACTCCGACAAAGCCGTTCTCTGCCTTCTTGAAGCGTGCATGCGACAAAAGGTGGTAGAAAATGAGTAATATGAGCGATATGATACAGTCATATCATTCGCTCGCTCCAACAAGTGGTGGAGAACGGGTTTGGCACCGCGCCAAACTCATCCGCCTGACACGCCCACCCCAACCGTCCGTAGCGAACTACACTTCGTACGCTTTAGAGAAGATACAATGAAAAGTTTTTTGAAGATATCCATTCCAGAACCATACGTTTTGGCTGGTGTGATTAGCTGGGGTGACGGATGCGCTCAGAAGGCACAACCAGGAATTTACACCATGGTTGCTCCATACTTGTCATGGATTGAAGGTGTACTGAATGGTCTTTGATCGCTTCTCTTCAACTCAACCCTACTTTGGAGGGTTCTCCAGCTTCTCTCTTCTTGCAACTTCAGTATGTTAGCTGTGAGTATTTGAACTACTTGGAGCCTTATGATCCTGTCAGAGGTCTAACGTATTCATTACGTTTTTAACGTTTCGACCTAATGTATACGTCAGGCCCTTGAATAAATGTGTAATTGAATAAATTTTTCCATCAAGGAAAAAAGTTCAGTTCCATCAAAGGGTTCCCGCAGCTTTGAGTTTAGCCAGATTGATCGCAAATTTGTTGTTGGAACGTATACAACACCGGATTCTATGCCTACAGAATTCAATCCGCCGCCTGTTTTGCCATGCTTTTATTGTTAGCTGTGATTGGAGTGCAGTGATGTGTCGCTGTCAAAGCATTAATAGACTTGGTTATGATCCCGACTGCGGTAGAAAGCTGCCTGTTGGTTAAGGGGCGTGGATGGGAGCATCAAAGTTTTTTGTGCGTCCTGCTTTCCTATGTTCTCCGCGCCGGGCTAAGGCAACCGCGTCCACAGTCAGCTCCGTGGAAACTCGCTCTAACCTCGAAGTGTCGGCTGTAGTTTGGTCAGAAGGTGGCTATTGTTTATATAAGAAGTTCTTTCTTGGCAGACTTTACCTTTTTCCGAAACGTATCTATACTGTAGGGTGCAGCATCGTTGTGCGAAACCCATCGTGGGGGTCGTACTTGAGCGCTAAGGAGGGGGAGGAATTGTAATGATTGTAGGTTGGGCCAATGAAAAGAACGACGGCATGTCCGTGGTTCCGCGTTTTGCGAAAGTGGTGTAGTTGTTGCCTCAGCGGACCTGACTACCTGCTCACGAAGAGAGAGGAAAATCTCAAATGAACGCGGACGCTGCCTTTAACTAACACTATTAACCCTTTACTGCCCAACCATCGAGAATTGAGCCAGTTCCTAACCGACTTTGTTCTCCGTGGGCAGATTTGGCTCAAAGTTGGCGCCCGCGCCACACGCGCCAGTGATGTGGGGTATGCCAGGACCTGTAGCGCGGGCGGCAGGAGGTTTCAGGCTGAGCGGATGTGTAATCGTGTTAATTGGGTCAGACTGCCCTGCGTTTCAGCGAATTTGGTAATTTAAGGTATTTTGGCCAGGAGGTTTCGTGCCTAGCGGATGTAGTATTCATGTCCAGCAGATCAAACTACCCCAGGGGAACAAGTTTTCAGCCAATTCTGCCAAGGCAGAAAAAAGTCGGTCAAAACTGGCCTGTTTTCGGAAGATTGGGGCAGTAAAGGGTAAATAGTGCCGTTCGACGTTCAAGACACCCATGTTTCGTCTATGGCCACAGTGCTCCTCTCAGTCTTGAATGACGTCTTATATAGAGAACATTGCTGCCTATAGACATCGAATTCTGCGTTCGTGCTTCCACAAAAAATGTGGTACCCAAACACACGTTCGTGCTTCTACAAAAAATGAGTTATCCAAACACACTCTCTCGATTATCCTTATTACCAGTCGGATCGCCCGGCTAACGCCGAGCTCTCCTCCTTCTTGGAAGCCCGGCTTCGCCGGGCTCATGCAGCTGCTTTAAAGTCGTGACTAATCGCTGTCTTCTAATCAAATGAATGTAGAAACGCGCCATAAGATCGCAGGGCACTTTCATAATGAAAAGTTCAAAATCTGGTCACGGATAATCGATTACTCTCCTCCCCATCTCATGACAGCCATGCATGCTTCGGTCTGCGCAGTCGCTGCGTGCTCCTGTTCAGGCGAGCGTCGGTCGCGCCAGTATGGTACCCCTTCACCGAACCTATCCCCAAACTAACCTCAGCTATTCCCCGCTCAGCCACCCTACAGGTCACGCTCAGCTGCTACGCGAATAGCCCGTGCAATGTTTGTTGTGTTATGTTGTGGAGGGGGTTATGACTATCAAAACGCTACCACAATTTGATAATGCAACATTAATCGGTTCAGACCCAATGGCGGTCGATCCATTTTCTTCTCATCTTATCGCAACCGTAGACGCCTTACCGCCGCAGGCGCTATGTGCTCCTAATCGCGAAATAGCCGTGCTCATCTGCGTATCCCCCCACCACATCATATCCCACTGACCCTATTTAACCCGGCGCCCACTCCCGCAAGTGGATGCAACCGCACACGTGAGCAGCTGATGCAACATAGGACACTACGCCGCCACTGTTCTTACCACCGCTTGCTCGTGCTCACGTCCAGCTCTCAAGCGAGCAGCTCCTGCAATAGTACAGAGTCTATCACAGTGGATGGCTTAGATAGGGAAGCTATTCCAATCCAAACAGCTTCCTAGTTCGTTGCTGTAACATGGATTAGCTTGCATTTTTGCTAGGGGTTCTTTCCTTCTGTCATGCCGCCTGCTCCTATCCAAGCGTACGCTACGCATCCCCTTACTGTACCAGTTTGCCCGATTCAATCCATATGCCTCCTTCCCCTGCATGGGCTCAGATCCGACTGAGTACGCGCAAGGAAGTGAGGATGGGAGAAGGGGGTCACTCGTACTAACTCCCACCTTCCTCACCTCACCCCATTCCGTGCTCGCCACACCACCCCTCCCACCCCCCTCCACCTTGCCCCTTGCACGCGCTTACGTCCAACTGCCACGCGAGCAACCCGTGCAAGAGTGTAGATCGCACCCTTGTGGTTTTCTTATATAGTGGAGAGTGTTACGACAACCCTAACAGCTTCTTAGTTCGTTACGGTAACATTGATTGGCTTACAGTTTTGTTAGCGGTTGTTTCTTCATCCATTGGTGTGCGTCTCTACTGAAACGCGCGCTACGCACCGCTCACTGCCCTCTCCCCTCCCCGCGACCCTTTCCCTCTGCCTTCCTCAAATACATGTGCTCAGCTCCGGCTGAGCACATGCAGGAGAAGGAGGCAGGGCGACCTGGCACCCCCACCCTGCCCCCGCACGAGCACACGTCCAGCTGCCACGGTAGCAGCTCGTGCAATGGCTCGGAGTGTACCGAGTGGTTGTCTTATAGTATATGCTGATATCACAATCAAAACATTGGATTGATACATCTGCACCGATGGGTTCCCGGTTTGGCTAGCGGTCGTTTTCTTCTTTCGCTAACGTGTTTAATCCTGTAAAGCATTTTGCGGACGGACAGACATACAAACCGACATACATACATACCGACAAACCGACACACGAAGTTTCTGCTTTATAGAATGTACGGATTTCGACGTAAATCGGGCAAAGGTATCGGCAGTGCTGTCAGTCTCACGGAGAAGCTGGAGGACGGTCCAGCCTCTGTGGGCAGACATTCAGTGCTTGGCTGCATCCCCTGCTTTCCTTGTGCAGTATGAACATCATAGAACCCTACTCGGCCACAAACATTTGCGTTCTTCCTTCTTCGGACTTCTGAACCGAGTCTTCCATACTCCGTTTCGTTCATTACGAAAGAGATGGAAGACCAGAGTCCTTCACTTTTGCTTTCCTGCCATTCCTATGTACATATGTTCCACGTTTTTGAATGAAATGATCCAGTGGAGAAATGCCGAGTTTAGATCAGGGCAAAACATCCCGTTGTGTGAAATTTCGGTTAGATGAGACCCCCGCCGGGTCTTCTCACAATTCTCCAACTTGGGAGGGGCCACGATCTGCGCTCCGTTTCTGAACCATCTACACTGCAATGCCCAAATTATGCTTCCGACAGCCTTGTTTATCCCGTTCGTAAATCTTTCCAGCAGTCGGAAATCACTTGAGATTCTTTAGTATATTATGAATGTTTGACTAATAAGAGCAAACGAGTAGAGTTCGTCTTCAGCATTGGTTCCACCGTCATGTGCCTTACGGTGATCCAAAAATCCCAAATGTTGGCGATCGAAATGAAATCCAAGTCCATATAGTACGCAGTCGCACTGGTGAGTGGAGGTACTTTTACACTTTTACATAACACCGTGAGGGAGACCGGCCTGAGATTTAACTCGCGCTCACTTGGCTTGCATCCATGATTGGAGCGTCTGTCATTCACTGCAAAGTAGGCAGAAAATTGCGACAGCACCCATCTTTGAGCGACCAGGATCTTCTCAGAAATAGATCGTTGGAAAAATGAAAGTAAGCTTGCACAGAGCTAGGTACACAATTCTAGAGAGTACGGAAAATATTTCGAGTTTTCTCCTTTTGACAAATTCCCTCGCTGTGAAATCGTCGCTGAATGTTAGTTTCACTGAGAGATTTCTTGCTATGAAGAGCAACAACTTTTTTACTAATCACCCTAGAAGAATTTCTTCTTTCCATCGGTGGTTTCCCTTTCTCTAGAGGATTTGTGGTTCAAAGGTTTTCCCGTTGCGTAGCTGTTTTGTTTGATTTCGATTTCTACGCAATATTTGCCCGTGCAGACAGATGTGTTCCCACGGTCTTTGGAAAAAAACGAAAACCTCACTGTCTTCATTTTACAGTGCTGACTGACCGCTGCGCGTACGATCTTCTCCTCTCCGGCGGCCAACTACGACACCCGTTGCGTTTTACACTAAGGGTGCCTTGGTCTGTGTTCAGGCCAGCGGACACTGGCACCTTCGCGCTGCTTGGTACTCGCATTTCGACCCCCCCCCCTCCACTTTAGTGCTCAATTAGGACCATCGTTGGGAATCCCCGACGATGGTGTGCCCTGGGTAGCCCCATCTTCGAGGATGGAGAATGTACTAATTCTGCAGCTCAGAAAGCGAGGGGAAGCGTCGCTCACTTGTGAGGGACTGCTGCAGCCTCCAACGTTCATTTTCTAGTGTTACCTGGTGCTGCGGTTATTCCGCTACTAACTCTCTCGATTTTGATAGTGAAAATGAGGTGATAAGGAGAAAGACTGGCACGAACAAGTGATTCCGTCCTACTACACCCTTTCTTCGCCATGCATGCACGGACAAACTCAGCTCAGCTGCTACATGAGGTTCTACATAAGCCATTTTCCACGATCTTCCCTGCTTTTTCTTCCCTAATGAATCACATGACACCTTGATATTACTATCCGAGCCGCGTAACTCATCAGCTT